CCTTGATGACACTGTTATGGCCAGTCTCGTTGCTAGTGAAGCCGGTGTTGATCCCGAAGCCGAGCTGGATGATGTGCTTGGGTGATCTAGTGTACCAATTTTCTCCTTTTGATATTTTCTTTTTCCTTTATGGATGTTGCGATGTAACTGGGCTAACTGCACTACCCTTTGTAATGAAATTTGAATGTTAATGAAAATTTTCATCTTTTTTGCACTTCCTTTGTGTGTCTTTTCCAATATTTCATTAACTTTGAATGCGTGCCTTGTTGGGCTAACTAGCTCAGTCTTTTGTGATCTTGCAAACCATCTTTTTCCGAGCCCATCTTGGTCAAGGTGCTCAAAATATTGGTCAAACCTGCCAACCTTCTTTGGCCGAGATAACCATCTCAGTCAAATAGTGTAAAAAGGAGTTGGTCAAATCTGCTAACATTCTTTGGCCGAGATAACCATCTCGGTCAAAGAGTGCAAAAGAGTTGGTCAAATATGCCAACCTTCTTTGACCTAGATACTTATCTCGGCGAAAGAGTGCAAGAAGGAGTTGGTCAAACATGCCAACATTCTTTGGTCGAGACAACCATCTCTATCAAGGAGTGCGAAAGAGTTGGTCAAACATGCCAACATTCTTTGGCCAAGATACTTATCTCGACCAAAGAGTGCAAAAAAAAGTAACAAGTACAATAGACGTTTTTATATATATTATAAAAAGTAACGAGTACAATATTTCAAATAGTTAACTTTAGTAGACGGAGACATAGCAATAGTTAATATTCTGTTAAATTAATGCATACAAAAGAAATATGTCAAATTATATTTTTGTTCTCAATTATGTTGACAAAGAATGTCCGATTAATAGTAATATAATTCATTTTTCGTGCTTTGATAAATCAAAATTTAAAATTTTATAATAATTATTTTTGATAAAAAGTTACACGTGTTTTTCCCCCCAAGCTCAGCACCCACCACCCCCCCCTCCCAAAAAAAAAAAAAAAGAGCTCAAATCTTAGATCTGTCCCTAATTATAGCCATAGATGCCCTCTAATATCTCTGTTATTTCATTAAGACTACAAAATTTTCCAACAAACCAATTGGGCTTGGTGAAAATGGGTTTTGAGATTTCTTAACCTTTTATTTTATTTTTTAAAAAGTAATGTTATAATGATTATCTATTTTTACCACATTATCGTACCATGGATATGTCAATCTAATTATTAGCATTACATTGGAGATATACATTAGTGGTGAAACCAATTATACTAATATTATATTGACAAGTAAGATAATAAGCATAATATGATATAAAAATGTGATAAGTGCGGTATTATTGTGTTGTTAATAAGGAATTCATGATCCTACCTTATGTGAGACAGGAGAGGCAATGTTTGTTGAGGGAATTTCCTGAAGTGTTGTCTTGTGATGAATATTCTAAGGTTTTGTAGGAGGGATGTGGTAATGGCAGTTCCATATTGTACCAATATTACTGTGATTCTTAGAGTTTCCTTTGTACCATTTGGCACTGATGTTATAAATTTTCAATTCTTGAAGTAATTCCTTTGAATTATTGTACTAGTTGAGATACTCTTAAGATTAATGTTATACTAGTCTATGGGCTGCCTCATTTGAACTTTCATTAACTGTGGTTTATGATATGAATAAAGCTGAACCTAGGAATCAATTTGGAATTAGATGTTTGCAAACCAAAGGGGATATCAAAGTTCAGGTTTCTCCTATTTAAGAATGAACTTAGTTTCTCCTTTGAAATCTGTGCTAAGTTTCCAAAATAAGAAAATCAATTCCTTATTGTATGATTATTGAAAATAGAGCATATGACAAGATGAGCCAAAGTAGAGAAAAGAGAGAAGATCATTACCAAGAGAGAGAGAAAGAGTACATAGGTTAGGAAACGTTCTAGAGAAGAGAGAACAGAGAGGTTAGAAAAGAGGTTAGATTGAGAGAGGAGAACAACAGCATTAGAATAGAGAAGAGAAGGTAAATAAAGGGGGTAGGGGAGAGAGAAAAAAGTAACATAAGAGGCACACATTTGAAGGAGATATTAAGACAATTCTCATATAGGTCCTGGTTATTTTAATTCATGTTACTTTCACTTGTTTGGAAATCATCATTCATTCTTGATTGAACTTTACTTCAGAAGTGTTCCCAACTTGTGTCAATTGACTATGGATGGTGAAACACAATTTGGTTCTGTCCGCAAAGTCTACTTTCAGCTTCCTCACTACCAAGTATCTCTACTTGAGATTTGAGTTATAGGATTACAGTAAACGGTTTCATGCTTACATAAACTATCCAAGGAGGCAGAGTTGTTGGGGTTGTTGATGGAGTTAAGGGAGGTGTTCCCATATCAGGCTTTCTTGTTTGGTGGTATGTTATGGCCTGCAGCTATTGATTTGGTAATTAAAGAAAAAGCAAATTAATCTATTTGTGTTTGCAATCATCTGCTCTTAAATTTCTCGAGGTTAGTGATATACGTCCTCCTGGGCAGTTTGGTTTTTTCATGAATGAGGTAAAGGCCATATATATATAATAGATTCATGATACAATTTAGGAAACAATATAAATAAGGAAACGGTATAAATAAAAAAACAATACTAAATCAGTGATTGACACAATCACAGATTATATACATAATACAAAAAATAAAAAGATTCTATGTACTATAATTTCTATATTCAACACTCCCCTTCAAGCTGGTGTGAAGATATTCAACAATCGTAACTTGCTAATGAATGACTGGAAGAAGCTGAAAAAAACTCAACGACTAGTCCAAATAAATGCTACCGAACAAATATAGTAGTCCACTAAATAAAAAAGGCCAAAAAGTGCTTAATACATCAGGACCACACCCTAGAAAGGGAAAAAAATAAGGACTGAACTGCCCTAAAAGAGCTGCCGAAGCATCTATGGCCAGGAAACACCCTGATCGGTAGCCAACAAGACCCTGGTTGGCATTAAAGGCCAAAGCTAATGCCGGAAGATAGTTTATGGTCGTGCCGAACCGTTATAGAAACTGGTCAGAACTAATGTCGAGACAATTTATGGTTATGTTAGACCATTGTAGGAACTAACTAGAATCAATGTCGTGACAGTTTACAGGGCCATGTCGGAACGTTATAGAAACTAACCGGAATCAATGTCGAGACAGTTTAAAAGGATCATGCTGGACCGATGTAGAGAACTGGATGTTGAACCAGCAAGCGTGACACACACATAACTTATGACGTGGTGCTAAACGATGATGGCAATAGATGACTAAGTGCGCCAAGGGGCGGTTTATTAGAAAGTGCTCTAGGGGATGGCTTTGGTGGTGCACTTGAGGGGGCGGTTTAGGTGGTGCGACAAGGGGGCAACTTGGGTTGTGTGCCAGAAGGGGTGACTTGGGTTGTGAGTAAAAAAAAATATGATAAAGATATTTGGGATATAAATAAACTAGTAGATAGATGAAGAGGTCACCGCGAAATGATGCTGAAAGAAAATATGGCAATGGAATGGGTTGAGGTCTGGCAAGCAGCCAAAGTAAGGCTACCGCCTGCTGGTGAAACAAAATTATAAGGTACCTAACTCTGATACAAAAAAAAAAAAAAAATGAAAAGAATTATTTAGCTTTCTCGTGAATGAGGTAGAGACCATATATATATATAATAGATTAATGATACAATTTAAGAAACGATATAAATAAGGAAATGATATAAATAATGAAACAATACTAAATCAGTGATTGACACAATCACAAATTATATACATAATACTAAAAATAAGAAGATTCTAGATACTCTAATTTCTATATTCAACAGAGTTGATCATTTGAATCTCTTTCTTTTGGTCCTTAAAAATTTTCTTATTAAAAATAAATATTTGCAATCTTAAGTAACATGTGAATTTGCAGAGATTAATCCAATATCCTCAGGTTTTCGGCCTTAAACCTGATATACATTTTTTACCATCTTCTAGTGGAAAAGAGAGCATCAATGTATACTCATGTGATTGTATCATTGAGGCTCTTTAAAGGCTGAAGAAGTGATAGATGCAGCTGATTTTGTCTCAGGAAAACACTGTTATCATCCATTCCTTTGTGATTTTTCTATTAGTGGATTTTTGAAGTGGTTGGCCAATGATCCTTGCAGGGAAGTTATTCTGCAAAAGCAGGACATTTGCCTTTTAGGTTAGTTACTTTATCCATTTCTTTGTACGTATCATAAGTTTGTGTGCTATTACGTGGAACTCAGCTAATTTTTTTTTTTTTTTTTTTTTTTTTTCCAGATGTTGAACACAAGAGAGTGGTAGGGTCAAATGATTTTTCTTCTTTGAAGGAATGTGAATGCTGCCTTGGTGGGGTGGATTTTGTGACCTTGGTATGTTGCTAGTTTTCCAAAAATGGGTCTTAATGCATTGTTGGGCATTCGAAGTTAGAATTAGAGGTGAAGTGGGTTTGTCTACATATTGTCTTAGGTTGTGTTTGGATCTTAGATTTGAAAAGAGATTTACAGAGGGAACAAAAAAAAAAGGAGGAAAATAAATATGAAGTATAATGTAATTTTTTTTTTTTTACTTTTCTGTCTCCTTTTCTTTCCTTTCATGAATCACTCGTCAAATCCAAAATCCGAACACAACCATAGGAATTTACTTTTTTTTTCTTTGAAGAATTATAATGTAATTGGTTGCTGCATAATTGGCATTAGAAACTGTGGTTGCTTAAATTTTGTGTTTGGATTTCTGGAGGAAACGGAGAAGTGAAATAAACTTTACTTCTACTTCATTCATTTTTCCCTTCCCTTTCATTTCCTTCCCTTCACAAATCCCTCCACAACTCTAAGATCCAAACACAGCCTGAGTACAAATGTTCAAATTTCTTAAGGAATATCAATCTGAATATTTAAATGTTTGATATGAGTTATTGAGTGAATTTCTAGATTATAGTTGAACTACTCATGTGAAATTCTATGTTTAATGTTTGTTCAACACTTTTTAAATTTGACCAATGAGTCTTTATTAATATTTTTCTGTAATGTTAGTTCTTAGCAAAACTAGGCGTTATGATTTTGTTGCCATGCATAAATATGCCTGAATATTTGACAATATTACAGTCTAATCATTCAAGAACTACTTAGATATTTGACAAACCAATCCATTGCTTTGCTATATTCTGTAAGTTTTTGAAGAATATTGTGTAGTCAATCATATATGTTTACAAAGAGTTCATCAGTTTATATAGCCCTAAATCTATGACTGAAAAAGGAAATACAAAGATTCCTATTTACACCACAATCTCTCCTAATGCCTAATTGTTAATATACACAATCATGCCATATATACAATATATTCTCACACCCCTGCTCAAACTCAAGGTGTTTTAGCAGAAAACACTGAGAGTTTTCTAAGAAGAAACAGAAACCGAGCAGTAGGGTGAGTTTTAGTAAAGAAGTCCGCAAGTTGTAAAGTCGAGGAGACGAAAGGAAGCGAGAAAGAGCCAGACTGCAGATGTTGGCGGACAAAGTGACAATCAATCTCAATGTGTTTCGTCCGTTCATAGAAAACAGTATTGTGGGCAATCTGAATAGCATTGTGGTTATCACAATAGAGAGAGGTCAGAGAAGACTGAGGTACACCCAATTAGAAAAAAGACAACGAAGCCAAACAAGCTCAGCAATAGCATAAGCCATAGCACAGTACTTAGCTTCGGCAGTAGAGCGAGCAACAACAGTTTGTTTCTTGCTTTTTCAAGAGATCAAGGAATCATCAACAAACATATAGAAACCAGAGGTGGACTTGCGATCATTAACATCACCAGCCCAATCAGAATCAGCATAGGCCACCAAGTCTAAAAAGGAAGTAGAGAACAACAGGTAGTGGGGGAGCCTTGCGATGAGAATAGACTAACAACAGAGGGAAAGAAGCAGCTGAAGGAGAAGAAGGAGCCATAGGTGAAGGCAGAGAAGTAGGAATGGACTCAAGAGAAACAGTAGAGATGTACTCATCAGACGAGACCACAGAAGGAAATGGGTCAATGTGAACCAAATCCTCTTTGGAAACAGGAGCAGTGAGAGGGGGAAGTTGAAAGTAAGATAGACGTTCCAGAAAGGCAACATGACAGGAGACATAAAGATGATGAGAGATAGGGTTGTAACAGCAGTAGCCTTTCTGAGTAAAACTGTAACCTAAAAAGACACATAAGACAAACCAGATACTGAATTTAGTCCTATTTTTACGGGGAAGGAGGACAAAACAAGCAGACTCAAAAACACGCAGGAGAGAATAATTTGGAGGTTGGGAATACAAAGCCTTATAAAGGGATTGACTGGAGAGTAGGGGAGTCGGCATGTGATTAAGGAGGAAAGCAGCGGTAAGAACTGCCTCACCCCAGAATGGTACCAAAACAGAGGCAGAGAGAAGAAGAGATTGAGCTATCTCAAGGAGATGACGATATTTACGCTCAGCACGACCATTTTAGACAGGGGTATCAGTACAAGAGATTTGGTGAATGGTGCCCAATGTAGCCAAATACTCACAGAATTCAGTTTTAAAATATTTCCCACCCAAGTCAAACCAGAGTATTTTAATTGTGGCCCCAAACTGTGTAGTGATTATAGACTGAAAGGCACGATGTATCTAGTAGAAGTCAGATTTATGAGCCATAAGATAAACCTATGTATAGCGGGTACAATCATCAACAAAGGACACATAATACGTAGAACCCCCTTTAGTGAGAACGGGAGAAGGTCCTCAGACATCAGTATATACAAGAGAAAAAGGAGAAGCATAAACAGAAGTACTGTTGTTAAAAGGTAAAGCTGTCATTTTAGCAAGTTTACATCCTCAATACTCATTAATTTGCTAGGAGAAACTTTACGTAACAATCTTGACTGAGCTAAAGACCGTAAGCGATCAACAGAAAAATGACCTAAGTGAGAATGCCATAAATAAAACTGACTCGACTGAGAATCTAACTGAAAAGAGAAAAGTGCAATGGGGGAGGTAGGTAGGGGAAGATGCAGGCGTTCCACCACATAGAGATTTCTAACTCTACAGGCGGTCCCAATCTGCTTTTTGGACACTTGATCTTGGACACAACAGATGAAAGAAGAAAAGATAACATCAAAATCAAAAGCATCAAGCTAACTAATAGAAAGCAAGCTAACAGACAGTTGAGGAACATAAAAAACAAAGAGAATAGTAACAATAGACATGGCAGAGGGTAAGACAGACCCAATAGATAGGATAGACATACCAGACCCATTAGCAGTATTAATAGTAACAGGAAATGGAAGAGGGATACAGTTTTGGAGCAAGGAAATGAGAGGTGTCATATGATGAGAGACACCAAAATCAAAAGGCCAGAAAGATGAAGGAATACCTAAAGAGGACCCAAGCAAACCTAAATGAAGAGAGGTGAGAGCAGAGGCAGATGAAGATGACTGAGAGGTAGACCAAAGATACTAAAGCTGAGCAATCTTGGCACTCAAGGAAGCCAAGTCAGGATCAGAAGCCAGAGTAGATGTAGTATAAGTAGCAGGAGGGCGAAAAGTACTTAGAGCAGGACCTCGGAACTGTAGCTGAGACAGCTGAGAAGACTGAGCAGACTAACGGCCCTTCTTGGGACAGTTGTACTTCTAATAGCTCTTCTGATGGCAAAAGCACATTCATTAAAGGCCAGTGGCCCCTTCTTGGACTTTGCAGTGGCCTGAAAGCTGATGAGATAGGGGGTTCGACAACAGAGGAGGCTGAGTAGGAGCCAAAAAGACAGATGGAGATAGAGTCTGACTGGCCGTCTTAAGACGGGTTTCCTTGGACAAAAGCTCACGAATAATAACATCCATAGAGGGGAGAGGAGACCAATGAAGGATGCCACTACGGATAGCCTCATATTGAAGGGAGAGAGTCGTTAAAAACTACACTAAACAACCCTACTCCCAAAACTCAACATAAGTGTCTAGTGCCTTGAGGCTAAGTGGTTCCAAGAAAGCCAATTGATACCAGAGACCTGTCATCTCAATATAGAAATCCTGAATAGCCTGATCCCGTTGACGAGTACTATGAATAGCTGTTTCCAACTCATATTACTTGGCAAAGTTGGACTGCTGATAAACACGTAGCAAATAATCTCACACCTCCTTAGTAGTTCTGTATTTAGAAAACAACATTACAATACAGTCATGTACAGAATTATGAAACCAGGTCAGAACTTGGACATATCACAAAACCAAGTATCACAGGAAGTCAGATATCCTTCCGCTTTTGAGTCTAATGGCCGAGGAACAGAACCAGAAACATAACCCCATTTTTTCTGACTAAGGAAAAAGTTCTTCATAGTACTGGCCCAATAGGCATAATTGTTACCAATGAATTTGCACTTGATAGCTTTAATTTTAGTGTCTAACATTATAATGAAACAAGGGTTATAGAATTAATGGGTTAAAATTATAAAATTCAGAAGATGTTGGGGTCAAACAATAATAAACCTAAAATAAGTTTTAAGTTTACTAACCCAACCAAGACTTGTAAGTCTACTAACCCAAACCAGACAACTACGAGCAGAGAGAGAGACGAGTCAGAGAAGACCAGAGGAAGTTGCGAAGCCCACGGTGTCGCGACTCCAGAACCAGAGAGAGACAATCGGAGCACGATCGTGACGTCGGGAGAGAGAAAATTCGCGACTCCGATGGTGACAAACCAGACAAACCAGAGAGGGCTGATGGAGATTACTCAGACAAACCAGAAAATTCACCACTTAAGGCTAATCATGAACCAGAAGAACCAAGGAGGGGTCAAGATCGATGACCCTTCAACCAGCGAACCATGACGGCGACAAGCGAAGCAGCTAAGGTTTCGAACCTTGCTCTGATACATGTAAGATTATGAAGAATATGGTGTATTCTGTTAATGCTATTCTTCCCAGTAAATGGATCAGACAGGTCCAAGCTCCTCCAGCCCATGTCTAAATGATCAAGCCCTCCAGATAACCTGCAGGCAAGTTCAACGGGGAACGGAGTAGTCCCCCAGCGAACTCTCCGACGAGCAAGTTAGGAAGAGAAGCAGAGTATATCGGAGAGGATTAGAGATAGAGAACTTAACCTTTTTCTTGTCTACAACATTTGCTTATATCCTTTTGTCATCATTTCGCTGTCCCTTCCGACCTGCTCTCCTTGCCGAAAGCTTATGCTGTAGCTTACCTTGCTCAGGGTAAGAGGGTCCTGTTCCAACGGAGAGGTGTTGTCGTAATAAATGCTGTGATGGACTGCATTAATGGTGATGTGTAGTGGCAATAACTTTGCAGATCTTTGTCTGCTGACGTGGCTCGTCCTCCACCCGCTGCGTGTCTGAATGCTGTTGGTTCTTGGTGCCATATTGGATTCCAGCTGTTCCGGACTCCATCGGCAGGGTTATGCATTGGGCCCCGAATGATGGGCTCGGGTTATTTATAGTGGTTCATGGCCTTTGTGGGCTTGTCCATGTCAGTAGTCCCCCATTCCCGAGTGCAGCTTTAGACCAGCGAAGGGAATATGTATGAGGAAGATGAGTCCAACCGGGATGGGCGGCCGAGTTGGTGAGGCGAGCGTAGGATTGTCCGACCGTGGGGAGGGTTGATCGCGCGAAGGCCGAGCAGAGGGCCTACTGGCCGAGCTAAAGGGCTGACCATGAAGAGGGGCGATCGTGCGAGAAGGCCGACCGTTGAGGGCAGGTCGACCCAAGGGGCCGACCGTGAGGGCAGGCTGACCGTTGAGGACAGGCCGACCCAAGAGGGCCGACTGTGAAGACAAGCTGATCGCGCGAGAAGGCCGACCATGAGGACAGGCCGACCCAAGGGGCCGACCGTGAGGACAGGCCGATCGCGCGAGAAAGCCGACCATGAGGGCAGGCCGACCCGATCGCACGAGAAGGCCGACCGTGAGAGCAGGCCGACCCAAGGGGCCGACCGTGAGGACAGGCTGACCGTTGAGGACAAGCCGACCCAAGGGGGCCGACTGTGAGGACAGGCCGATCGCGCGAGAAGGCCGATTATTGAGGGCAGGCCGACCGTGGGGAGGGCTGATTGCGTGAAGGACGGGCGGATTGGCGCGGGGCTCAAGGGGCGGCGTGGCAAGTGATGATTGGAAGTAGAAAAGACAGGGTAAGGGGGATGGACAGTGCATCGTGGCCGTACACGTGGCCACGTCCCGTAAAGGGGGAAGACTAGGCGTTGGATTAGAAACGAAACGTTAGGTCATTGTGGGTGTTGAAGAGACGGTTTTGGCGGATGATTTTGAAAATTTTTCAAACTAGCGAAAATTAATTGGGACCCTTGGAATACGGGTAAACCGTGGACTTTTGGCATTATTCGATTTACCTACCTGTGTACGAAAAATCAAAATATTCCAAGTGTGAATTCCTTTGTTGCTCACAATACACCTCTGCAACACTTTTTCAATTTCCTTGTTCCTGCCGCCGAAGCGATTCGCAAACATACCACAGAAATGGCCGAAGAAGGGAGTGCGATTGTCAGGGTGGATCCGCTTGGAAATGATGATGCTATGGAGCTAGCGGCGCAGTATAGGACAGAGAGGGTGGAGGAGCCGGTGGTACGATCCCACGGTTCCACCATGATAGCAGCTCTAAAGCCAATCAGCCAGGCGAAACCAGATCATTGGCACACGAAGGCTGACAAATCCACGATTACTGTGGCGGAGTTGGAGGCTATCCGCAAAAAATACCAGATCCTTGGGGAAGTGGAGTTGTTGCTACCGACATCAACGGAAAGGCCGTCTGACGCCAGGCCAGGGGAGTTTTCCCTTTATGAGGAAGCTCTGAAGGGTGGACTGAGGTTGCCACTGCCGCAAGTGGTGGTGGATGTGCTTAACCATCTGGAGGTAGCACCGGGGCAACTAATGCCTAACGTATGGAAGATCCTGCTGGCCTGTGCCAGTGCGTGGCCGAAGGCAAATGGAGGGAAGGCCATGACAGTAGACGAATTCTTTGGGTGTTATAAGGCGTCGGGGCAACAGGAGACGTGGGTCACCCTGCAGGCTGCAGTGGGGAAGGGATTGGTGGCGGGTCTGCCGTCGTCAATCAAGGGGTGGCGGCCGCGATGGTTCTACGTGTCTGCCAATAGGGGGCTTGGAGCGCTCACCGTATGGAAAGTGCCCATCAGGTCTGTGGAGCTGAAACTGGGGGCAGCTGCGGAGGGGAGGGTGAGGAGAGTGAAGGAGCGGAGGGAGAGAGAAAAGGCCAAATGGGACGAGCTCGTTCAGCCGTCGGCATTGTTTGAGGCGGGGTTGGGGCCAAAGCCAAGTAGTGGGGATCTCGACCGAGCGGAGTTGGAGGCGAGGAAAAGGGTGCAGGAGGCAGAGGATCAGGCCATTCTTGCCAAAGCCCAACAATTCAAAGAGTCCCAGGCCGACCGGCCACCAAAACCTGTTGCGAGGGAGCGGATTCGACCTCGCCCTAAACCGTTGGGAGAGAAAAACTTGGGCGATTTTGTGCCGCGGCCGCCCCCAACAGACCCTTTGAAGGAGAGGTCGTTGAAGGAGATGGAGGCATTGGGCCTGGGAAAGAAGAAGAAGAGAGTGAGTCAGAGTGAGGAAGTGCATGCCCAGAAGAAGAGGAGGGAAATGAGTGTGAAAGAAACCAGTGCGGCCGTGGGGTCTGAAGGGGGAGAAGTGAAGGGGGCCCCAGGAAGGGTAGGTGGCCCAGAAGTGGTGGATGTTGCCTCAGAGGTCATGGAGGTCGTCCTCGAAAGGCAAGTGGAGGGTGAGGCTGTTGGCCCTGGGCCAAGGAGGGAGGGACAGCCCTAGGGGGGTCCAAGGAGGGAGGGACAGCCCCAGGGGGGTCTTGTACCTCAAGAAGGAGGAGTCGGTGGGACCACGGCGATCTACCATGCTCGTGCGGTGGGCGGGCGGCTGGAGGGAGAAGAAGGCCCAGCCAGGGTAGGGGCAGATCGCCTTGTAGGGATTGTAGAAGAGGCAACCCTGCGCTCGGCCTCCAGATTCAACGAGGCTGAGCTGCTAAGGGAGTTATACTCCGCTCAAATGGAGGTAACCACCTTAGCAGGGGCCCTGCTGAGGAAGGCGGGGGCTGCCAAACTCAAGGCAGATGAGGCCAAGCCCAGCTTGCAAAGTTAAAGGAGAAGAGTGCAAGTTGGGAGAGAGCCCACACTGAGCTGCAAACGGTTAAGGCGGAGCTGGAGGACACACGCCACCAGGTTGTGTCGCTCGAGTTCCAACTTGCTGGCGAGTAGAAGAAGTTGGACGAGGCCCAAAGAGCCTGCGCCGTCGCGGTCGAGCGACATGAAAAGGCTATGAGCAATATTGAGGAGCTGGTCAGGCAAAAGGACGAGGCGAATAGCAGAGTGGGCGATCTCTAGAGAGAACTGGAAGGCGAGCGCGCCAAGGCAGGGGAGGAGAAAGGGAGGCTCCAGAGGGAGTTGGAAGCAGAGAGAGTGCAGGTGGCGGCGGAGAAGGAGAGCCTGAAGAAGGAGTTGGAGGCGGAAAAGGCGAAGGCAGCGTCGGAAAGGGCGGCCCTGCAGAAAGAGCTGGACGAAGAGAGGGCAAAGGCAGCTTCTGAAAGGGCGACTTATCCCAATCTGTGCGTCACAGCAGTGGAGCAATTCAAAGGGTCTGCCGAATTCCAGACGGCGGTTGATGTCGCGGTTGCGAGTAGCTTGGCTAGGCAGGAATCTGGGGGGGCGGGCCCATCGAGGACGACTGCTGGAGGCAGAACTGAAGCAGAAGTTATTGAGAGCTTCCAGCAGTCGGACTTTTATAAGCACGAAATGGCTGAGTACTGGGACAGTGGCTGGAAGATGTTCAAACGTAGAGCTGAAGATCTGTTCCCAGACTTAGACCTTAGTAGTATAACAATTGACGAAGACGATGTGGCACAAACCCCCCTGGATGAAGGCATTGAAGAAGAAGACCTCCTCTCTAGTGAGGAGGAGTAACTGGGGAGGAAGGAGAAAAAGATAGTTTGTTGGTTTGTTGTTTTTGTTTTGTGTGTTTTTTTTTTGTTTTGTTTTGTTTTTAATTGCTGTAATGAACTTTTGTACATGAATTGCTGTAATGAACTTTTGTACATGAATTGCTGTAATGAACTTTTGTGCAAAGTTGTGAACGAATAAAATTTCAGTTGTGTTTGTTATTTGAATATTTCTGCTTGTGGATCTTAGATAAATGAGGCCTGGGCAAAGTGTTTGTAGAGCTTCTCGTTAATAAGAGTGAAATTGAAGCTTGTAATAAGGATTCAATGCATAGTGGAATTTAAAGTTTAATAAAATGATAGGCCTGAGAAAGTTAAATGTAATAAAATGATAGTGGAATTTAAAAACTGCGCAATGCAGAGTGGAATTTAAAGTGTAATAAAATGATAAGAACGTCTATGGAATTTGGACTAAGCAAAGAGTGGTGTGAAGACTGGGACCTGGAATTGTGACTAAGTGTGTTAATGAATTCCACAGGTATGAAGTTTTGCATGGGTGGTTTTGACCGAGCCCTATATGTTAAGTCTGGACGAGTGCTTCACGCTTAGTCTGGATGGAGCATTTAGCGCGCGGTCTGGCAGGGGGTGTGAACTGTCGGACTGGCCGAAGAGGCTCATGTTCAGTCTGGCTGAGGCTTTAAGTGCTCAGTCTGGCTGAGGCTTTTAGTGCTCAGTCTGGCTGAGGCTTTAAGTGCTCTGTCTGGCTGAGGCTTTTAGTACTCAGTCTGGCTGAGGCTTTAAGTGCTCAGTCTGGCAGAGGCTTTTGGTGCTCAGTCTGGCTGAGGCTTTAAGTGCTCTGTCTGGCTGAGGCTTTAAGTGCTCTGTCTGGCAGAGGCTTTTGGTGCTCAGTCTGGCTGAGGCTTTAAGTGCTCAGTCTGGCTGAGGCTTTTAGTGCTCAGTCTGGCTGAGGCTTTAAGTGCTCAGTCTGGCAGAGGCTTTTAGTGCTCAGTCTGGCTGAGGCTTTAAGTGCTCTGTCTGGCAAAGGCTTTTAGTGCTCAATCTGGCTGAGGCTTTAAGTGCTCAGTCTGGCAGAGGCTTTTAGTGCTCTGTCTGGCAGAAGCTTTTAATGCTGCAAATAAGAATGTTACCGAGACAACATATAGATAACTGAGATATATAATCAAGAAGTTACATTGCGTGGGGGAATATCAAGAATGTGTGAATTTCTCGAAAAGAAAATTCAATAACTGAGCAATACAAAAATATGAGCTTATTGAAAGTAACGTTTAAGGTGTTCGGCGTTCCATGGGTGGGGGAGGTCTCGACCTTCCATGTCCTGAAGTCGGTAAGTTCCTGGTCGGGATCGGGCTTTCACAATGTAAGGTCCCTCCCACTTGGCTGCCAATTTACCCTCAGTCGAATTTTTGGTAGCAAGAGTTGCTTCTCTCAAGACAAGATCCCCTACAGCGAACTCCCTTGGTCAGACCTTGCGGTTGTAGTGTGTTCTCATTTTCTGTTGGTATGAGGCCAAGTGGACAGCGGTGGTCTCTCTGAGTTCTTCAATTAGGTCGAGGTCAGCCCGACGGAGTTCTTCGGTTAGTGTTGGATCCGGATGTGAAACCCTGGGAGTAGGCAAACCGACTTCTACTGGGATAACCGCCTCAGCGTCGTATGTTAAGCGGAAAGGGGTTTCCCCAGTGGGCGTCCGAGCTGTAGTGCGATAAGCCCAGAGTACATTCGGTAGCTCCTCAGCCCAAAGTCCCTTAGCAGCTTCTAGCTTAGTTTTGATTATCTTCATGAGAGAGCAGTTGATGACCTCGACTTGGCCATTGGCCTGGGGATGACCAGGGGATGAGAAACAAGGTTGAATCTGGAGGTCGGCGCAGAACTTTCTGTACTTGGCATTGTCAAATTGTTTACCGTTGTCGGAGATGATGGCCTGAGGAATGCCAAACCTGCAAACGATCGACTGCCAGATGAACTTGGTTGTGTTCCGCTCGGTAATGGTAGCGAGGGGTTCTGCCTCTACCCACTTGGTGAAGTAATCAATGGCGACGATCACGAACTTGGTCTGGCCTCGGCCAGTAGGGAGTGGTCCGACCAAGTCGATCCCCCATTTGGCGAACGGATAAGGCCTGCAAAGTGTGATCAACTCTGTAGGGGGTGCATGGGGGATGTTGGCAAAACGCTGACACTTATCACATTTGAGCACGAAATCGGTCGCATCTCGATTAAGGATGGGCCAGAAATAACCGGTACGGAGTATCTTGTGGGCTAGAGACTTACCGCCCGAGTGATTGCCTCAGATGCCCTCATGAATTTCTTGCATCACATAAGTTGCTTGAGTCGGATTGAGGCACCGCAGATAGGGGCGTGAGAGACCACGTTTGTACAAGATGCCGTCGACGAGGATGTAATTGGATGATCGTGCCCTGACTTTGGCGGCGTGCTGGTGGTCATCCGGAAGTTCCCCCGCTGTCAAAAATTGAAGGATGTCCGACGCCCAAGAGATGGGCTCATTTTGGAGGAATTGTACTTCATGCGGGTCGGGGAAAATGGCGGGGTGGGATAGGTATTCAAGACGGACGCCACTGCTGAGGGCGGACTGGTCTGCGGAAGCCAGCTGGGCCATCTCATCTGCCTTAGAATTCTCCGCCCGGGGATTGTGCTTGATCTGGAAGGTGTTGAAAAGGCGAACCAAGGGAAGTGCAAGATCCCTGTAAGTCCGCATTGGCCCAATCAGAATCAGCATAGGCCACCA